GGTCTTCTGTCAAAATAAACCTGGAATGACCCTACACAAGAGAGATGCATGCAACTTTACACTAACTGTGCCCCTAGAATACCTTTTAAAAAAGTATCCAAAGCTTGTGCAGAAAATTATGTATTTTAACTAGAGAGGCAGTCCAAAAACTAAAGATGAGATTCAGCAAAGAAAACCACAGACACCTGAAATGAATGTCAGGAACTTCCTGATTCTTATTTGGGTCCTGACCTACCCTTATTAATTTATTATAGCCATTGGCAAGGAGCATCTAGGAGGCTTTAGAAGAGACTGATTCATAATCAATATCAGTTTCAATGTCTACTCCTTTCTCCCAGGTCTTTCTTACCTCATCTCCTGCATCTAAGGTTCAATCTCTGGTTCTATTCTTGAGTCCTAATCTCCGTGACTTACTTTTTCTATTGCCCAGACTTCTAAACCTTTCTTGCCACATCCTCTATTCCTGGTCCTTGATCTTCACTGGTTCATCTCCTGAGCTTCCACGTCCCTCTATCTGCCTTGTCTGCCCTTACCTGGCCAATTTTAACTGCATCCTACCACCAACTCCAAAAATAGCTTCTGCTTATACCTTCTTTGCTACTTTAAATTCCTAGATGTTGCATTTGACTACAAACCTGGAACCCATTTCCTATACAACTTGGTAATGACTGAATTTTGAACACAGTATTTGTTCTATTTAGGTGAATTCTGAGTCTTTATGTCAGCTTGAATACCCATCTAATTTCTACTGCCATGCTTCTTCCCAATGTAGAAAATCAACTCCTATCGATACTGCCAGCCTGCCCTAGCGCCTTCCTGGTGGATGGAAAGGGAGAGTGATAAACCACCACTATTGTTGCTTGGGGCCAGTTATTTTTTTCGGACCACTTTTAGTTGCGTTGCCTTGGATTTTTTGGTTAAAATTAGGTTAATTGGTTGAAAATATTATTTTCAAGCCCCTAAAAATTCAAAAAGTACAGAGCATTCTGGATGGGTTAGGTGGCCCTTGAAAATGAGCTTGTTTACCTTGTGAGAGTCTTCCCCCCTGCGGACTGATGAGCTGTGATTTCTGGGCCACTTCATGCCAACCCTGAGGTTTCCCTGGCAACACTCCTAGTCCAAGATAACCAGGATAGAGCTCTGGAAACCACTCCATCCCCATGGAGCTGGGAAGGGTCTTTCTCTCAGTAGCTGCAACATGATTGATGAAGGGGCTCTTAGAAGTGTGATGCAGGGCTGAATGTAGAGGTTGCTGGCATCCAGCAGGCAATGCTTGAAACTGACAGCCAGATTTGGGCTCCAGAGAAACTTGTCCCTTACTTTCCAATAAGGCCTTTACATCAGGGACTCCATTATGACTGCAGGCTTCTGCTTTTTCTTCTTGGAGAAATTTTGTAGCCAGAGAGGCAAGACTTTGACTACTTGAGTGTGATACAGAAAAAAATTCATTGTCAGCTGTCTCCCTTGGAATGCACAAATTTAAATGTCCTTCATCTTGAGATTTCTTCTCTGTGGCTGAATCATCAGTTTTGAAGTTCTCAGAGCCATTGCTGAGGGCAGTCCATTCCTGCATTTCTGTCACAGACACACTTTTCTCTGCATTTCCTTTGCTCCCACACACCTCTACTCCAAGGCTAAGTCCTTTTTCTTGGTTCTCCATGACTCGGATTTTACCTGATGAGCTAATTTTAAGGCTTAAAATTAGTGATTCTATGTCTTTTTCCTGAGTCTCACTGTCTCTAACATCAGTAGAGGCTCCTGAGAGATGATCCCTGCCTTTGGAATTTCTCTCATCGCTCGACAATGATGTTTGTACTCTTTTAACTCCATCACTGAGGTTCTTTGGAGAACTATAACAGTCACCAATAGGCACATCTAGTAATTTTACTAGAAGCTCCTGTCTTTGGGGATTAATTTTATCCAATTTTAGATCAGCAGATGTGGTTTGTACATCATTAGGTATCGCTGAGGAATATTTTCTATCTTCATTTGATAAAGAAGGTTCCATTGAGCCAACCAGTAAAGATACTTCAGTTTTTGAAGGATTACACCTGCTTTCCACTGATTTAGGCAAATCTTTGGCAAGTTCTCTTTTAGGAGAGGTGTTCTCTGATGCATAAAACTGAGCCTTGGTCTCTCCTTGGAAAGCAGTCTTTGGTTCAGATTTTTTTAATGTTTTGCAAGAGAGCTGAATTTGATTCTTGATTTGTTTATCTGCCTCTGTAGTACTAGCTCTTTCCAAACTAACAGGTGGTAGTGGAAAGGACTTAATTGTCCATTCTGGTTTGTCCATTATCAACTTAGTATTTTTTTCCTCACTCTCTGTCTCTAACTCTCTCCCTTTAGCTTTCATTAAATCTTTGATTGGTTTTTTCATTTTTTTAGCACGTGGGAGTGTACCTGGCTTGGACTGATAAACCTTTCTATCAGCAGGTATGGTTGGTCCTATCATCTTACAGTGTGGCAAGTGGGATTTTAATCGTTTAAATGGCTTCTTACAATAAGGACACAATTCCATTCCAGGTGGAATATCACTCATCCTCTTCCTGAAAGGTAAATGTGAGATTATGAGGGGCACATAGTTTGCAGAGTAAAGACGAATATTTTATTGGTCATGTCTTTTAAATTAATTTGGAACAAGTTAAAGGAAACTTAAAAAAAAATTGTTTTCATCCATTCTTTTTCTTACGGGAGTGGAAAATTAGAGATACAGTTTGGTTTTAAGATAAATATTTCTGGCTCTATTTATGCTTAGTAGTTAACATTTTTGAAAGTCTGCTAGGAATCCATCAATACAAAAGACAAAGAGATTTTGCAACATCCCCAACAAGGAGGCAAACAAGGCCAAAGACTCATGTCTAATAAACAGCCAAAGGAAAAGATGCCCAGAATACCAGTCAGAATAAAATGTTTGCTATTTAAGGTTATAGCAACTCAACTAGATATCACATTAATATAAAGAAATTATGTAAAAACCTTCAAACACATCATTCAAGGACAGTATAGCAAAGAAGAAAAAACTCAGGCCAGGATCCAAAGGTTACTCTTTAGAGCAGAGGTTTCCAAAATGATATAGAAAGATCCACTGGGGTGCAAGAAGAAAATTTTAGAACTTTCACAACATAAGCATGAGAAATGAAGCTCTACTAACATTCAACAAATTAGTAATATGCACACATATAACATACACACATATAAAATGTTATGTGTAATGCACAAATAAATAAAAGGAGGGGACATGGCAACAAGTTTTCATGTATGGTTTGTAATACAATGGATTACTGGCAAATTTGTTTGACATCTTTGTTAAATATACACCATATGGGAAAATTTTAAAACATTTATACCATGTATCATTCGTATTTCTTTGTTATTCTCTAAATGAAGGAAAAGAAAATGTTTAATTTCAAAGCTCAGTTGGAAGTTGTTTCCTTTTTTATATTTCATATTGTTTCTATAAAGTTTCAGAGGGCAGAGAATATATTTATCCTGTGTACAGCTGCATTCTCAGAATCTAGCACACAGCCTGGCATACAATATTTGTTGAACGAATTTTCTCTAGACATAAACGTGCAAATATTATCATCCAATATTATGACTGAGAATATCTTCTGACGAATAACAGATGAAAAACCAAACTTCAAAACCATTTACAAAATAAGTAGACATAATCTTGGCCAATCCATTTATCAAAGCAACCAACCTACTTTATTTTGCATGAAGTCATGCAAAACAAAACTGTTTTCTGCCAATAGACTACAGTATTTATTCTTACTTTGGAGTACACACTGAGAATATGATGAAAGTTATGGACCGTTCACTCACAAAAATACACAAATGAAGCCAGTGCATGGGCCTTTGGCCAGTGACTTTTAAAAGGACTTGAGATCTGTCAGACGTTTCTGCCTCTATAGTACTCCATCTCACACACTTAATCCTACTGGAAGGATCTCTGTACATTTACACGGTAATGTCTCAGTGTGGGTGCCTGTTTTCTTACCCGAGCTCCTCCAGGAGGATATTAATTTTGCAGTTGTTTCTCCTGGATCCCCATGCTTGCTTCCCGATCACGGTTCCCGAGTTTGGCAGAATAAACTTCAGCGTCAGCCTGTGTAACACACGAGCAGAGAGGTAACTCGACGGCACGCTCAGTGAGTAAATGTGGCATACTAGTGAACCAAATACACATGCCAGTAACTGGATTATCTGCTTGGCAGCTTCCCCCTAGGATATTCCGGAAAGCAGCGAGTTAAGACTTCACCAGCCTTCCGCGCACAGGCGGACCTCACGGTTTATGTTCACCTTCGCCCTCACCTCCGGCGCGCTCTCCAGCCGGCTCGTGCTCCTCCCAGTGCGTTACCTGGCCTGCCCTCCCCTCCTTTGGCTGAAACCTAGCAGTCCACCTGCTTGCAGCCAGGTGGGCGGGGACCGCCGGGCAGCTGCCGGGTGGGAGGCCAGCTTCCCCGCAGCCTCACGGAGGGGCAAGGGGTTCACCCTGCGGCTCCGGGAAGCCCCCCCGCCTGGCCCCGGCTCCCGGTCCGCTCCCCTCTCGCCTCAGGACAGTCTCCCCCGGGCTCAGAACCGCAGCCGTAGGAAACACCCCCGCCCTCCGAGACTCGCCGCTGAGAAGCCGCCTCACCTCGGAAGACCCGAACGGCCGGGAAGCCCGAGTGACAAGCCCACCAGGTCGCCCCACGAGCGCCCACCCAACCCCCGGGCCCGGGACCCGCGGCAGGCCGTCTGCGCCACTGCCTGACGGCTCGCGCCTATTTTAAAAAATTATTACCTCACAGAGCTTTAACCCAAATACTTGTATAATATTATTATGACCTAATTGAATCGATTTTACATCTGGCTTGATTTTTATACCGTGCCCGCCTCTTTGGCTGTGAGCAGGCGAAATCCCGGGCCACCCCCAAGGAGGTCCTCTCTCCCAGAAGCTCCCAGTCGCTCCTCCCCCTCCCAGCCCCCCTCTTCCCGTGGGCGGGGTTACCGGTCGGCGCGGCTCGGCCACTGCGCAGCCGCGAGAGGGCGGTACCACGGCGGCTGCGACATGGGGGGGCGCGGAGGGGACGCCGGAAGTAGCAGTGGTACGGGTCCTACCGAGGGGTACTTACCGCCGGCTGCGTCCACCAGAGCGGCGGCTAGAGCCAAGGCCCGAAGGGGTGGGCGTGGCGGCCGGCGGGACGCAGCCCCCTCTATTCCCTCTTCTCGCGGAGCGGCGCCGCGTCGCTCCCCTCCGCCAGCTGCCATGAGCGAGCGCCTCCGCCCCAGGTGAGAGAGAAGGGACCCATTCCTTTCTAGCCCCTCGCCTCAGGGTCTGGGGGACGGAGCCGAGGGGGCGCGCGAAGCGGGGTCGGAGCGAGCGTGGACCCTGCGGGGCTCCATCTGGGGTGCTCCGCGGTCCGGGGGAGGAGGGCGAGGGACGCGCGAGTGATCGGTATCTGGTCCCTGTAGGTGGCTGGAGGGGTGACTCAAGGGTCTGGGTCTCCCGCCCCCGTCCCTCCATCTTTTTTTTTTTCCCCCCCTTTCTATCTTTTCCTGTTTGGAATGAAGTGTGGTTGGTTCTGGAAGAGGGACGGTGGCCCTAAAGCTTCACTGTCCTAAATTTAGGAGGGCGGGGGGGGGGATGGGAGCAATGTCTGATCTTGGGGAGGGAGCCCCCCTAAGGCTTCTGTGAGGACTCGGGGCCGGGAGTTGCCGCCTCCCCAAGGTCAGAAAGAAGGGTTGGGCTTAACCCCGCAGCAGGGAATGCTTAGGTTTTACGGAGGAACCTGTGCCCTGGACGGTTGTGAACACAGAGGCAGATGAGGAAGGTGGGTTTGGATCCTCTCCGGGCTGTAGCATTAAGAACAGGTAGAATTCTAAACTGTTTAGATGTGAAACCGTTTGACTCGGAAGGTGGGAGGTAGGATTTTATATCTCGATGCACTTGCTACCTTCCCAGTTGAACCTGGCCTAATTTAGGTGTTTTATGGTTGCCATGTATTGAGTTGAGTCTGGACCAAGCTGGGGTTTTTTCCTGCCCCCCCTCCCCGCAAAGAGGTGGAGAAGGGATAGTCAGGATGGGTTGCACCAGAAAGAAGAGGATGAACTTTATTTCAAATTTAAAAATACTTTATCATGGAGCTTGAAGTGAAAAAATCTGTAGATCACCAAGATTTCATTTTTCTGATGAGGAAACAAGATTTACAGAGATCATTTGGTTTACCTGAGCCTGAATTAGGTTCACTACTCTTTCCTTTATTCCATAGTGGTCTCAGGCTTACGTGAATACGATGTATCATAGGATTACCTTGGTAGGTTAAGCTGGATCTTTCAAAGTTTTAAGGGCCGGGGGTGTAGTGGCTCACGCCTGTAATCCTAGCATTCTGGGAGGCCGAGGTGGGAGGATCACTTAAGGTAAGGAGTTCGAAATCAGCCTGAGCAAGAGCAAGACCCTTTCTCTACTAAAAATAGAAAGAAATTAATTGGTCAACTAAAAAAATATAAAAAAAAATTAGCCAGGCATGGTGGTGCATGCCTGTAGTCCCAGCTACTTGGGAGGATGAGGCAGGAGGAGGATCGCTTGAGCCCAGGAGTTGGAGGTGCCTATGAGCTAAGCTGACACCACAGCACTCTGGCCTGGGCAACAAAGTGAGACTCTGTCTCTAAATAAGTAAATAAATAAAAATAAAAAAATAAAACAGTCTTCACTGGCTCTGAATGTAACCAACAATCTTTTCACAAGGACCCTTCTATGAAACAGTCACTTCACGGGATTGAGGCTCTCAAAAGCATCCTGCGATTATTTGGTCCCATAGTGAAAACCTAGGACTCCTGAAAAACTGCTGCATTGGATTGATTTGGGTCATGTAGCAAGTGGGGCATAAAGCCTCTACTTGTATAGAAAAGAAGAGTGGACTCAATTTGAACTTAGGGGCCCAATTACAGACGTGCCATCGGAATTAGGAACAAGCTTTTTCTGCCGTTTTTTTCATTCCCAAACTCAGTTTATAATTCTGATATCCTCTTGGGTTGTCTCACATATCTGGAAAAGTCTAAATATTTTCTACAGAAAAAGTTTCTTTTATCCAATACTGTACACAAGTAATCTGAATGTTTTTATACCAGTATTAGATTCCTTTTATGTAGTATACAGATAATCTCAATATGTTTATACTGGTAATTTCTTTTTTTTTTTGAGACAGAGTCTCACTTTGTTGCCCAGGCAAGAGTGAGTGCCGTGGTGTGAGCCTAGCTCACAGCAACCTCAAATTCCTGGGCTCAAGCAGTCCTTCTGCCTCAGCCTCCAAGTAGCTGGAACTACAGGCATGCACCACCATGCCCGGATAATTTTTCTATATATATTAGTTGGCCAATTAATTTCTTTCTATTTATAGTAGAGATGGGGTCTCTCTCTTGCTCAGGCTAGTTTCGAACTCCTGACCTTGAGCAATCCACCTGCCCGATCCACCCACCTAATCCACCCGCCTCAGCCTCCCAAAGTGCTAGGATTACAGGCATGAGCCCCACGCCTGGCCAGTTTCTTTAACTCTAAAGAAAATCATTTGATTTAGACAGGCTTTTCTTGCCTACATTTCTCCTCATCCTGTGTTTCCTGGAGTATAATGGACCACCTCAGCCAGCTCCAGCTATCTTACTGTCTCCAAGTCAGTTCATGTCTCTGGATCTGTTTTCTCAAGTTTAAGATGCGGGGTTGGTCTAAGATGGTGGTTTTTCACACTGTTCCACAGTAGACCGGATGACCATAGAGAGGTGGGTGTGTGGTGAGAGAGTGCCTACTTTAACAGATTATTTATCCCTTACATATTGAGGGTTTTTTCCTCTGGTAAGAAGAAAGAGTTCTGTTACCTTTTTTAAAAAGTTTGAAAACCACTAATCCCCATACTCTTAAGATTATTTCTATGCTCAGCCTCTAGGAGACGACAGGAAGTTTGGAGAGAAATGAAATGATGAAGGGTGATGGATGGAATCAACCATCTTTAGAAGTAACCCATGCTAAACTATCATCTGTACCTAGGAGACTAGGGGAGAGTATTGTCAATTATAGAGTGCCTGCTAAAATTATAACCTGGTCTATGGCATTAACTCCAAAAGCTATAATCTGACTGATTGTACTGATAGAGATGAGCTTAAAGCAGTAATCTTGCCAATTATTGCCAATATTGTTGAAAGAAGAATGTTTCAAGGATGGAATCTGCTAAGAGCTTAGGAAAAGGAGAATGAAGAATCCAATATCATCCAAAGACGAGAGCCACCAAAATGCCAAAGAAATAACTGTGGTACTTTGAGAATCAACTCATTATGAAGCAGGGATATTTCACATAACTTTCTCATCCTAGTTGTTCTTACACTTTCTGCCTTGCAGCCTCTTTGACGTTCATATTCGTGTCACTGGAAAGATATATCCCTCATTACAAATGAGGAAACGGCAAATTTTGGTCAGGTTCCTGAGTTTGGTTAGAGTGAGTCAGCAGCCCAGAGCACGGTCAGCTGTTGGCACTCTGATAAAAGGAGAGTTTGGGGACTAACGCGCTGCTGTTCAGAGTTTCTCCCTGGGTTTCAACTGGCTGCCCACTTTGCCACTGCAGCTCACTCCCACACAAATTATCTGATCATATTTGGTGAAAGTAGCAGTTTCTTGGTTCTCATATTTATATGTTTATTTTTATCCACCACTAAGAGTTGTGCAATCTTGGTTCAAATTTATGATGATAGCACATCCATTTAATGGTTATTAAAACCTGGTATCCATCTAGTTTTTAACCTCTAAGTTCTTCAGGTTAGGATCTGATTTCCTGGGAGAAAGTTAGGGAGCAGAAATGATGACGTTACATTAAAAACAACTGAGTCTTAGAATGAGGTAAATGGTGTAGCCCACTGCAGGTTGGTTAAAGCTTTATCAGAACAACATACTCACTATTTATCCTTCCAAACCTAGATGGAATCCATACTCATTAATAAAGTTTGACGTATTCAGAGTGTTGCAGAGTACAGGGAATTGAGCTGGGGTGATAATTTAAAGTTTCTTCAATATCAGACTTCAACTCAAGAAGCCTTTAGAATTAACCCTTTGCACTCTCTTGCTTTTTTCTCATTATCCACTCGACATTATCCACACTCGACATCCAAGTGCAAAGGGTTAAAGACATGCTACAGTAAGCCACCCTACTCACAAAGAAAGCATGTAATTGTAAAGAAGATATTATATCTTCCAGAGTGAAATACTTTCCAAAAGCTGTTTGTTCCTCTCACTAGCCTTTTGTCTCTTAACTATAGAAATTTGAACCTTTAAGAATATTCATTTCAATAGATGCTGCTGCCTATACATGTGGACCTCAAGCCAGCTCTGCCCCAGGAGGGCTTTCTGCAGTGTTGGGAATGTCCTATGTCTGTGCTGGTCAGTGCAGCAGCCACTAGCTACAGGTGGCCACTGATCTCTGGAAAGGGGGCAAGTATGACCTAGGAACTGGATTGTGAATTTTAGTTAATTTTAAAGTAACCACATGTGGCTAGTGGTTTCCATATTGGACAGTACAGTTCCAGGCAATCTGACTTAAAATTATACCTCCTTTAATTTATTTCTGTGTTCTAACTGGGATTTAGAAATCTCTTTGACAGCACATAATTCTTACGTACAGGGCATATACATTTTGTCTGCCTTGCATATTTGAGAACACTTGCCTAAGAAAGGTGTGCAGTTTTTCTTTAAACTTGAAGTTTAATCAACTTGTGCTATAATCTCACAGTAACAACCTAGTGAAGTAACTGTTATAATACTAGCTAGTATAGCCAGAATAATCAGTTTAACATGACCAAGAGACATTTTATAAGAACTTTGAGGGCAAATAGTGAAAGGCAGCCACTCTTATCTTAAATGTCATATGGAAGAGAATAAAATTAGGTAGCTTGGAATTGTAATATCAGGGAATGTAGAAAGAAGAAAACCTTAATTAGGTAGAGTTTGAAAGCTCAGTCATTAACCTATTCCTGTTCTTATTTCATTCCCAACAGACATTTAAAATTGTCAAACTTCTTTACAGAAATGAGTTTTACTAATTTAAGCTTGACCTTACTGCTGCTCTCTTATATTTTTGCTCTTAGTGATGGCATACATCCAATTTTTTAATCTATTGGGATATATATGATAAATTATGTTTTCTCAGGATAAAGGGCAAATTTGTATGTTGTCATGGTTTGTAGTTTAAGTGTCCAAAAGATCACTTGTTGGATTTTTTTTTCCTCGTGATTTAATTTCAGGAAAAGGAGAAGGAATGGCAATGAAGAAGACAACCATCTTCCCCCGCAGACCAAAAGGAGTAGTAGAAACCCTGTCTTTCAGGATTCCTGGGACACAGAGGTAGGAAGTGTGGTCACATAGTCTCTGTTGTTTTCACTGCTTGAGCTAAATAACCCAGTTTTTGCCATGTAATTAAAAGAAATTTATTTAAGGAGTAAATGAAAGTGTTCTTACTTGATTGCAGTTGTTTCAACCTTTGTTTTTTTGAGTCATTGCACCTTTGAGGATTCTGTGTACCCTCTCCCCAGCAAAACAGTACCTGTCTGTACATATTAATATACACATACACACAATTTATATTTATTAGAAGTTTTATGGACCAAGCCTATCTTTGAACTCCGTTTTATGTTTCAGAAACCAACTTACCTTCTGGTAGTGTATAAACCATGAATTGTCCTTAAGGTAAACATGTTTTGGTGTTTCCATTTAAATGTCTTTTAAGAGAAACTTTAAGAACACAGAATATATAATGCATGTGTATGCAAACCCCACCCCCACCCCCCGCGCCACCTTTTTGTCCCCAAGAGACAGAGTCTCTCTGTGTTACCCGGGCTAGAGTGCTGTGATGTCAGTCTAGCTCCCAGCAACTTCAAACTCATGGGCTCAAGCGATCTTTCTGCCTCAGCCTACCAGGTAGCTGGGACTACAGGTGTGTGCCACCATGCCTGGCTAATTTTGTTTTTATTTTTATTTTCCCTTCTAATTTTTTTTTCTATTTTTTAGTAGAGATGGGAGTCTTCCTCTTGCTCAGGCTGGTCTTGAACTCCTGAACTCAAAGAATCCTCCTGCTTTGGCATCCCAAAATGCTAGGATTATAGGCATGAGCCACCACGCCTGGCCTGCAAATCCCTTTTTGAAGTGTTTTTACTTTTCATTATGTTCTAAAAAGGGTTCCTTCAGTGGATAAGGGGAGGGGAGTTGAGAAGAGGGAGCACTCTTGAAGTTTTTTATAACTTTCGGCTCCCTGAAAGAGTGCTTCCGTATGCACACTGAGGAGAAGCTTTCTGTGCAATTGGAAGGCTGCTCTATGGTGGGGAGAGGGAACCAGCATTAAAGCAATGCTGCTATTAAATTACATACCTAAAGATGTTGACCCTTAACAGTTGCCACACTAACAGAAACACCTCAATGACAAAGATTCCTAAACCCTAGTGTATAAGTCACAGAAGAATTCTGTACACTGAAGAATTCTGAAGTACAAAAATAATTTGTACTTCAATTAGTTCCTGGTAATAGGATTTGACCTATATCCAGCCTTTCTTTACTAGCAATCCAAAGTATGCCCCGCCCCCCTGGGGAAAAGTCAGGAACTCTCACTAGGGAACAGGAATTCAGGAACAATTAAGAAATAAGTACAGATATGAATCCTTCTGTGTGGAGACTTTAGTTTCTATGACTTTTTTTTCTCCCTTTAATAATCTTCCTATTTGCTTTTTTACTTTTCTTTTTCTAATGATTAACAGAAAAATAGTTGAGCTTTTGTTTAATATGACAATTGGAGAATCTCAAGGATGAAAGAAAAATCTAATATTAGAGGCTGTCATGAACATCTAATCATAAAACTGTGTAACAGTAATTGGGTTTCCATTCTTTTGAATTATAAGACTATTCATTGAGAGAGTGTGCAGAGATCACTTTCATGATATTGGCATCAGTACTTCTTTACGTGTCTGTAAATCCTGCTACAGAATGTTCACATTATTTCAAAGGTATTGTAGGTTAACCTCTTTGTATTAGCCCTTTTTTTGCTATTTCTACAGTTTTGATGCATAAGAACAGAAATAGAAATTGTCATTTTTATTTAAAAATTAAGCATCTCTGATCTCTCATTTTAAATATTAGCATTCTATTAGTTTTATGTTTTGTTTTAGTTGTTTTTTGTAGAAAATGACCTTCATTCTTTTTCTAAAATCTATGCATCAGTTTCAGGGAGGAAAACAATGTCTTGTTAGTTAGCCTCTGGGTCATGTATCTTGTTCTTACTTGTCTAAAGAAGTTGAAGCACTCTGTAATCATTAGTCTCAAGGATGGACTGGATTGTCTTTGTTATAATTTAAGGTCATTACAGGTAATTTTTTTCTGAATTGACTGGTACATCACCTAATGGGGTGTCTTCACCACTGGTTTCAGCCTTGCTTAGCGAACATTTCCAGAGTTGCTTCTTGTGCCGTGCTGTGTTTCTCCAGCGGTGGTATTAACAAGTAACAAGGATGCGTGAGAGAGGGGAGATCTGGAGAAGCAAAAGGCAGGGGAAGGCTTTTAAAATGGAAAGTTAAGTTCTGAATAATTAAATTTTCACTACTGAAATAGATCATTATGTTTGTAGCACACACACAAAAAAATGTTTAGGGGCATTTGGCTGCTTTGTGACAATTGTATATAAAAAGGAAAATAAAATAATTCATTATTAAGGAGTTATGTTACTAATGATTTATACAGTAACATATTAATAACATTATTAATGAAAACGTTATCTTTTAATTCTAAGATAGGGCCAATGAGGTAAGTTTCCTTGAAACTAACTCAGATAAGAGAAACCATTTCCTGTGTCTTTCCTGAAACACCTAAATAATCTTAGAATTCTTTTTCTTGTAACTTGTACTCTCATTTGTGAGGAGTTTGTTTAAATTCTAAGAGAAACGTTAAACTTTATTGGCCAGGTGCGGTGGCACACGCCTGTAATCCTAGCACTCTGTGAGGCCTAGGCGGGAGGATCATTTGAGCTCAGGAGTTCGAGACCAGCCTGAGCAAGAGGGAGACCCCTGTCTCTACTAAAAATAGAAAGAAATTAATTGGCCAGCTAAAAATACATAGAAAAAATTAGCCAGGTATGGTGGTGCATGCCTGTAGTCTCAGCTACTCAGGAGGCTGAGGCAAGAGGATCCCCTGAGCTCAGGAGTTTGAGGTTGCTATGAGCTAGGCTGACACCACAGCACTCTAGCCCGGGCAACAGAGAGACTCTGTCTCAATTTAACAAAATTTTAAAATTAGGATTCTCTAAATCCCTTTGTTTTAACTGATAAGAATTAGCTTTGCATTTAGTGATTTTCTAAATAGAGTGAATTTATATGACAATTGGGAGTATTTATAATTTTTTTAAATGGTATTTGAAACTCTTAGTTTTTGCCCATTCTCATCTTTAATCTGTCTTAGGGTGGTAAGTACATTCTAAGAGACAGACTGATTTGGCAGGCTCTTTTGGGTGAAACCATTAGGGTTGTGTGTTTAAAACCCTGCAGCAAATTAACTCTCAAATCAACTTAAAAGATCCATTCAAAATGGAGAAACAGTCCTGTTATCTAATGTGTAGTATACATTTTAAGAAACTTTGCTCACAGTTTAGGTCCTTGAAATGTTTGTGATACATCAACTCACAGCATACTAAGCTACCCCACTCGGTTTCTTATAGAAATTGAATGTTAAAGTCTGTTGTTAGGTACTGGAGATACATACATGCACATCTTTTTTTGCTGGTGGGAATTATTTTTTTGGCCTGTTGAAATTGAAACAAAATGAAGTGATAATAGAATATTTCAGTTAGGAATGACCTTACAACACTTAAAACAACAAGTTTTAAGTCTACTTTCACCTTATAAGGAAAATATAGATACAGAAAGGATGTTATTTTTCTTGGAGACAAAAAAGTTATCACCTGCATCTTCTTTTCTTATTTATATAGAAAGTCATTTTAATTAACCCACTGAGTTCATTTGGAATCTTAGGGTCTCACCAGTAGTAGTAGACCTGGAGCTCTCTGAAATTATTGGACACTTTGGAAGCACAGAATTTTACATTAGAGCCTCTGATAGACTTGGCTAGTATCATCTTTTGCATTTAATCCAGATGCTGCCACATCCTTAGGATGAAAATGAACTTCATTATGAGTCCAGGGATAGACTGTATACTATGGGTGAAATTTCTTTTTTCTTTTGAGGTTCATGTACGTTAAAAGCATCACTTACTGGGGAGATGGAGCTCAGGGGGAGCTGGAGCTTGACAGAGAAAGAAGTACTATATTGATCTGCTTTTCTAATTAAGAGAAAGCATTCAGTTCTAGATAATAAATGTACACGTAGATTCTAGTTCTACTTTTATGAAGCAGAGGGGCTCAGTAATTAGTATTCCTGGTTGGGGGGTTTTCTAAAGGTAGAGATATCTTAAAGAGTTGTTTAGTTCCTGCCATGGGTATAAATGGGTTATCTCTTAAACTGACTTCACACCCTGGAAAAAGTAGGCGTGGCTGAGGGACCTGGAGATCTTGCCTTTGATGTATCATTTGAGCCCTGCAGACTAAGAAAATGAACTTCACCTTCCCTGTCCTCTCCTTCACAGTTTGTGTGCATCCCTCCTGCCAAAGAGAATGGAGTGTCCCTTCGCCTTTCTGCTCTGCATTCTCTTAAAGGGCCTGAAAACTCTTTCCAGACTTTCTTTTTCCTATTCGTTTCTTCACTCTTCTTACCCACTGGCCTTTCACTAGCCTGCTAAGGTGCTCTTTTCCCTTCCTGACGACCCTCCTTTCTGCCTCATCTTCCCCTCAGCTCCCTGCATGTTTTCTCTCTCTTTCCCCTTCCCCACCAGGCATCTTGAGTTATCCGTAGCTGCCGCCGCTGCTGGTACACTGTGCATGTTAAGGAGTCTCTTCTGGTTCTCGTCAGCATCCATTGCTGGATTCCTGTCACTGTGATAGTTATATTCTGTCATTATGTATTGGATGGATTGCTACCATTTTCTTCTTGATCAAGCTCAGTAAATATTGAGTGACTGGCCAGGCGCGGTAGCTCACACCTGTAATCCTAGCACTTTAGGTGGCTGAAGTGGGGAGGATTGCATGAGGCCAGGAGTCTGAAACCAGCTTGAGAAACAGTGAGACCCCATCTCTACAAAAGTAGAAAAATCAGCTGGGCATGGTGGTGTGCACCTGTTGTTCCAGATGCTTGGGAGGCTGAGACAGGAGGATTGTTTGAGCCCAAGAATTTGAAGTTGCTGTGAGCTATGACGAGGCCACTACACTGTAGCCCAGGCAACAGAGTGAGACTCTGTCTCCAAAACAAACAAACAAATTATTGATGAAGCAGCCCTAGTGAAATGCCTCCTTGTACATAGTAGGCACACAGACATTGGTTTGCACAGTGGTTGAATTTGAGAACAACCTGTGCCTTGCTGTTTACTAAGGGTGGTCCTGAGGTGGGGCTCTGTCTGGCATGTACGCATTTTTAAAAAGTTCATGGATAATTCCAAAATAGACATATCATGACAGTTCCAGATGTCTGGAGTTACAAGGATATAATGGTAGGTTTTACAGTTGTCTAACCTAGAATCCTCCCCTTTCATACAGATAAAACAGGACTCTTATGAGTTGCCTTTGTATGTTGTTTAGAGAGATTCTTGGCCCAGAGTCTTCATAAATTTAGTTTTATCTTGCTTGCATTTGTGGCTTTGTAAGAGTTTTTTATTTCACAGATCATGGCCTTATTCTTCTTGGTTGGTAATACAACTTTGTCATGAAAATAGCCTGCTCAGATATCAACGCTAAGCCTAAATGGGAAATTCAGAGAAAAGAAAATGAGCTTTGTAACTGTTGATTTAGATAAATTGTTTGATGAGGAGTCTTTGTAAGGAATCAGGATTATGGGAATAGCATTCTTATTTGGTTGTCCTTCTCAGTCCCAAGTCTTTTGACTCTTGTTTCTCTTTTGGTAAAAGAATCTGCTGTCTTTTCAAGAAAAAGTATAACAAGGTAAACATGTCTATACTAGGATAGCAGTTTGAATTCTCAAAACCACACACCATGAAGTAGTGGTCCCCTCCACCCCAATCAGACATTAAAAAGCTTCACTAAATGGGGGAAATTAAGATTTTTTTTCCCCTTATTTCACTTTTTTTATTTTAGGAGACAAAAATTATTTTTCTTCTGTATATATCTTAAGGCACTAATGGAGACTTACACATCAGTTTTCTGCCTTTAGGGTTAAAAGTGAATACTGGTCTTTCCTTTAAAGGAAAGGAAAGACCATAAAACAGATCACTTTGATGGCCAACAGTGTTAAGATCGATTTTAGTAGCTTTCAAACTTTTTTGACCCTTTCCCATAGAAATGTTTTATTTTGTGACCCAGTATATACCAAATATATTTGTGAATAATTGACAAGAAGCTTCACAGAACAATTCTCCTTAACCATGTTGCACTGTTTTCTTGTGCCCGTTGCTACCTACCAATGGGTTTCACCCTCAATTTGAAAAATCCTGGTCCATCTCACAGATTGTGAGATACTCCCTAAGCCATGCTGATAGAAGACTGTTCTGAACTGGCAAAAAATATAGGAATCAGAGCATCTTTGAAACAGATGTATTGTTCTTACCTTTGATGACAATAATAGTTACAGAACATTTTATTTGTATTAAAATAACATAAGGTGCATTCATCTGAATTCTATATAACGTATCTTTTTTGTTTAAAAGTATCATTGGACTGCCTAATGTAAGTGAGTATAACTGAAGCAGCTTTAGAAGTTCTTATGTAGTTAAGAGGGGAGGTAAAACTATAATCTTCCAAAAATCTTATTGACAGTATCAGTACTTTTTTTTTCAATTTCCGTCTTGTAGAAGTGAAGACCTTACTCTGTTTTGTAGTAGCATTCTTTAGTTTATTTATTCATGATCCTCTTTATTCCTCAAAAATATTTTTTGTAGAAGCTTTAGAAAATATAGATATTAAAAATATAAGATCCAAATTCTAAATGTTTTGCCATATATATCATTCTGGGCTATTTTTGGTGTATGTATATGTATGGTATACATTAAAGAAAAACATTTTAAAAATTAATGATATACTATGCATACTGTTCAATGTGAACTTGAAAACGATGTAAAAAAGATGTTAAAGACTTCTAGTATATGTACTTCTCATTATTGTTAATTGCTAAATAGAATTTTATCATATGTATGTATACAACAGATATATTAAAATTTAACCAATTCCCTATTGTTAGATGTTTAGATTGTTTCTAATTTTAGCTATTATAAACAAGGTTACACTAAATGTTTTTATACTGTCTTTATAAGGTTTATTACAAGATTTTAAAAATGAACTAGAAATTGTAAGTATATTTGTCCTTTTTTTAAAAAGTTACTGTACAGAAGTCTTTCCTAACTTGTTTAAAGAACTTATACTTTTTATCAGAATAGTCACCCTTGCGATTATAGTGTAAAATAGGTATCATTTGAGATGAAAACTTGACTTACTAGAAACTGATTATAGTTCTTGCCTTAATTTTCAGACAGTACCTGTAATGAAAAGCAATAAAGAAAACAGACTAAGAGGAAACAAAGCGTTCTGCGCGGTGGGTTTCTTATCCAGTGTAGTGACCTACTTGTTAAATATTCATGACCTCAGGAGGTGTACCCGGCTGTTCTAGGTTGTTATACTAGGTTAGGAGAGGCCTTTGTAGAAGAAAACTTTTGTCTTTGAATTAGCTTTGACTTCTTAAGCCTTTGAGTAAATTTAATTGCTGGTGCAGCAAAACCTGCCATCTGACTTCATTCAGCCCATTTTTATCCATTCATGAGTTTGGTTTTTTGTTTTTTTTAAGCTGTAGAAAGATATATTGTCTCTTACTATATTTGGGCAATGGGGTATGTGACCATAGCTCCCAATGACCTTTGGACCATGACAAGTTTTGGTTTCAGTCTTATTAATGATAGCTGCTTCATTAACATTGCTTTTTTCACTGTTTCAGACAAGTTATCTATCGTGTCTATTGTTAGATGTAACTTTTGGTCAAAAAAAGGGACAGAACTAAGATTTAAAAAATGACCTTAAAAGTATATATCTGGAAACAACATTTTATTTATACAGTTATTTTTACAGTGAATATACATAATAACCACTTTGCTAAAAAGTTATAGTAAAGCCAGGTGGTGTGGCATGTGCCTGAAATCCCAGCTACTGGGGAGGCTGAGGCGGGAGGAATCACTTGAGCCCAGGAGTGTAAGACCAGCTTTGACAACATAGCGAGACCCCACCTCTTAAAAAAAGAAAAAAAAGTTATAGTAGAGGGCAGAAAAAAATAAGCAACTATAATCCTTCCATTCTAATACAACTATTGTGGTCTGTTTCTTTCCAGTCTTTTTTTCTTACATGCAGACTTTATATAGTTGTAAGCAGACATTTCAAAATGAATGTTTTTGTCTAAGGGAACATTAATTTGGATGTATCAAAGGACTAAGTTAAAAAAATTACACACCAACCAGATTATTAATTACTAGGATTCTAACTTTATCATGGATTGATTTCTTCCATTACAGTACTGTGTTGAGTTATAGAGAAAGGTACTGCTCATTGAGTAATCAGGGTTGTCATTTATTAGAAATGCAGTATTAAGATTGCAAAATACCATAATTCTGAAATGAATCCTTAATATGATCTTCCCTTTTGAGAATCCTAGTGTTGCAGGAATTTCTGAAAATGACTCCTATCAGGGATCTCTGAGTAGCTTCTACAAGGTGACTTAAGCTCCAAGTCATTGTAGTTAAAGAAAAAATTGGGCATACTCAGTGATGCACATGCACATTGAAATGCAAAAATGCCAATATAAGATAACTTATAGGAAGTATATTAAAGTCCTTTCAGGGTATGTACCTTGTCCTGCAGTTATAGAATACCTTTTTGGGTCCATGATAAGATGATGGTCACAAAATTGGCATTAGGTTTTTAGTTTTTATTTTCACTTGTACCTAGAAGCCATCTTATTTGTTACGGGACACCTTTATTATGCCCTGTACCAATGACTGATACTGTCCCTTGGAGGCTGAAAACTTCCTCCTTTGATTAGAAATTATTGAAATGAATGGTAAAGTCGGTACAGAAGATGTGTGATGGAATTAAGATGTAGTTGAAAGGATTTAAGCTCTGTGCTTGAATCTGGACCTATTGGGGATAGTAAATTCCACTTGACCTGACAGGGTAGCTTTGAGGATAGAATGAAATGTCTTAGGTGAATAGACTTTGTAAACTGTAAAGCCCAGTAAATGTCTTCATCTTCAAGCTGAATTGGAAAAATACATTTAAGGATATTGTACATTGAACCCCACAGTGAAGCTCTTAAGAAACAAAACAGTAAAATGCAACCAAAATGTTCGTACTTTCGTATTTTCTTGTAATAAAATAAAAATGAAAAAAAACAAACAAAACAGCCTGATCATGACCCTGTTTTTTCTTTTTCCTTCCAGTCTTCAGGCAGTGACAGTGGTGGCAGCAGCAGTAGCAGTAGCAGCAGCATCAACAGCCCAGACAGGGCCAGTGGGCCAGAAGGCAGCTTAAGCCAGACCATTGCCGGATCCAGTCCTAACACCCCTCAGCCCGTGCCCGAGCAGTCTGCACTGTGCCAAGGCCCTTACTTCCACATCAACCAGACCCTGAAGGAGGCCCACTTCCACAGTCTACAGCACCGAGGACGGCCTCCGACATGATGTGCCGGCAGTTTCTTGCCTTCTGTGAAGGGACAGCGCTGTGCAGATTGGATATTTCAACTTGTGATTTGTTTTAAAAAATATTGCACACACACAAAAATGCCTGTTGGCTTTTCGGTTTATATTTGAAATAACAGGTTAACAGGCAATTGTTTACTTGTGGTTTTGCTGCACTATTGCAATTTCAAAGGGGCTTTGAAGCAATTTTTTTATAGGATTCTTCTGAGGGAGGGTGTCAAATCCATGTCAAGGTAGTGGTATGAGGAAATCTCATCTGTGTGTTGAATCCATAGTATGTCCAATTCAGACTGATTTCCCAATCTGTCAATTAGAAATTCTACTTTATGTAAAAGGGCCTTTTAAAAATGCGGGATCTTCAATTTTTTTAATTCAATAAACTAGTAAAGAGTATCTAGTTTCCATGAAAAAACAAAAGTTTTTTTTTTTCCAAAATACAGAAATCTTGATTCAGTCTTGCACTGAAATTAACTGCCATACTACCTCTTAGTATGTAGATGTTCTATCGAACACACTCTCCTTTGTAACAGGAGAACAACCCGACCCAACGTAGACTGTGTGAGAGAAACACCCTCCCTAGTAACAGTCTCCACTCTTTGTTATATATTTGTATTTCCAGGGAGAATGTCTTTTAGACTCTCACATACTCGGATAACTTCTGTATTGATATTCCTCCAGAGTTTGGACCTAAGACTTTAGTAGGAAACACTGCACAGCTCGGAAAGTGAAGAAATATGTAATGACTTTTTGTCTTACTCACAAACTTGTTAAATCAGCAGCTTACCTGATGTCTGATAACTCCACCTTGTAGTGTCAAATTAAGGCATGTATGAATGCTGATAAAGTGTAACCTATCTGAACTGATGTTTAAAGCAACAAGTATTGTGAAAACTATTGGACAAGGATTAACTTTATGCTAAAGTAACCCTAACAGTAACTAGGGGGCCACATTCCATCATTGGAACTGGATAGATTGGTGTGGCTTTGAAACAAATGGACAGGGCACCTTTGAGAAGATAAGTGGTAGTATTTATTTAGAGAGAGGTATGTTCCCATGCTACTTAGTCATACTAGAGAGCCGCGCAAGTTTGAATAATGAAGGTGCAGACGTGTCGTCTTCCTCACTGACGAGCTGTCTGAACAAGGAGCCAGGAAGCATCGGGTCACCTGCTCTGGAGAGTGCCGGGGGACAACCTGCCATTGGATGTAGGGGAAAGTGCCTTAGAGTCTCCCGAGCCCTCCTGCCTGCTCCCACGCCACACCATGCCACTCGGAGTCCACACGGCACACAAGCAGGTCTTAGAAGCACAGAAAGCTCTACTCAGATAACTTTGTTTGTTCTCATGATTTGAAGAGGACATGGGGAACAGCAGTAAGATTTTATTACGTGACAGAACTAGATTTGAAAATGCCTGTCCTAGGAAAAGGGTAAAATATTGCACCTCCTTTCCATGTTCTGTTCCTCTGATCTGGGTAGGATTGGAAGGCCAGTCACTTGAAGTGGAAACGCAGTGTTCTGGGGGAAGTTACAGCACAGGCCCATGCTTAGGGAGTGAGTGGTTTTTGCAAGAGCTTTTTCTTTGTTTTACTACTATCTCCCAAATTTTAAAAGAAGATAATGAGGACCGTGGATGGATCTTCATGGGTTTGATATCAGGGAATACGGAAAGGATACACTGCTCATGTTTTGTCTAATAGCAAACTACAACTGATTCTGTAAGAAGACAAGCTGTTTGAGCTCTACACGTGTCACAGCAACATTCAGAAAATACCCAGAAGGACTCCTGCAGGCTTAACGGATGGCATCCTACTGAAACAAAACGTGTATTAAGAAAACATAAAACTTAAGGAAGCAAATTTCTTTTATCTAGTACCCACCCAACTAAAGGACATGGAAGGTGAAACCATCACCAGAACAAAACAAATTTTTTCCAAATAAGTATAATCATAGTGCCAGGTTGGCAGTTAACTTTTACCCTACTAAATATGAGAGAATCTCCACCCTGTCCTGTATATTTTCTACAGCCTGGGCAGCCTGAGAAATACTTCTATTATGAAGCTACTTGGGAGTGTCAATGAGCTACTTCTAACACTTCTATTAGCTTGAGCTAGTAAGACCTGTAATTCTCTATTGCGCCATTAAAAGCAGCATTAGTGCATTTTGTCACTCAGTTCTTTATCAGTTATTTGAAAGGGAGCTGATCTGGTGGCTGGGTGGGAGATGGGGCGTCAAGGGGTGGACCTCTTGCTGTGGCACTAACCTGGGCTTTTGTTTCGACGCTTCTGCTGGTTATTTCACCCTTCGAGTGCTTGTCATGCTGAGTGGGAGAAGTCCAAACCTCAAGACAAGGGAAAGAATTTCAGTAGCACAAACGGGCAGCTTCAGGGCCCAGTGAAAGCCTCTTAGAATCACTTACCTCTGTGGTCCCCAACCCCTAGTCCATGGCCTGTTAGGAACTGGGCCATGTATGCCCCCTCCTGCCCCTCTGTGGGAAAACTGTCTTCCATGAAACAGGAAACTGGTTTGCACAGCAGGAGGTGGCCACAAAGCAGGAGGTAAGCAGCCAGCTGCAGCATCGTCCCCATTGCTCACTCTGCCCTGCCCCCTTCACCCAGACCCATGGAAAACTGTCTTCTATGAAACGTCCTGGGTGCCAGAAGGGTTGGGGCGCTGATTTACCTGATCATGACTCGATGCCAGTGCAGTATGTTGTGGGTTCTTGGAGTGTGAATGTACTGTCTCGGGGGCTGAACTGACTCTCCGTACCAGTAACCAATCCAAACAGCTGACAGACAAGAAATGGAGCACAATAAAATGCTGGGGTTTCACTGTCCGGTCAGGGAAAGTCACCTATCCTGTTAGCAATCAATCGTTTCTAACCATCGTTTTGGGGAATGTTCTTTTGAGCGTATTAATGCTTCAAAATTACTTTTTATCATTGCGCCTGCAGGTCAGAATCTCACAGTCACATAGTTCTTTTATTTTTCTTTCTGAGGCCTGGTAAAACCTTAAAATCCTTATCTATAACTTAAGGAGTCAGATCATGTTTGCCTCAGCATGTGGAGATTATCTAATCCTCTTTCAGCCCTTATAACTACACACAGCTATTTGTGTCTTACCCCCCTCCTAAGGCTGCCTCCTGGAGTGTAAGTGCAGCAGCAGGTTAATTTTGTAATTTGAGCCTGTGGCACTTAAGTCACAATGAGCATGTTTGAGACTCAACTCACAGAAGTTCGCTGCACCAGGCGATTGAGGTTGCTGTTGAGGTGTGGCGTGAAAACATCCAGAGTCAAATGGATCAATGAGTGCTTCCAGGTGGTCAGTACTTTCCGATTCTGAAAAAAGATTAGGATCATTATTCTCTGCATTTTTTAAGGATAAAAAACCATCTTACAGTATTATAATGCCACAGAAATCCTGGAGTTGGATTTTATTCTACTTAGCTACTGGCTTAGGACATTTGTCACTGATGATCGTGCTCAAGGAATCAAAGAGTTTCAACCTGATGTGTCTAAGTGAAGTCCACTCCTTCCCCATGTTCTGTTTTTAGGGAGAGCACTAAGGGCTCAAATGATCCTCAGCAGCTGCTAGGCTGACTCAGAAGAGAGGAATGAGGGTCCACCTATTGCACTTGACCATGGAGTTTATCCAGCAGGTGGCCATAATTTAACTTGCTGGTAACATGAGCACTTACTATTTAAAACAAACACAAGGAATGTGCCATAAGACGCTGATGCTTCTCTCTGGTGGCTTCTCAGCAAGGGAGCTCTTGGCGTTTGGGAGAGACTGTCCTGTGACAGCACAGTGGAGAAGATACTACACCTGGAGTCCGGTTTGCTTCGGCTGCTCTTCCCCTCTTCAGCCTTGGTTGTCAGGACGATGCTGAGATAACGCAGATCATAAAGCAGCTGCAGTGCCCGGTTCTGGGTTACTGGAAACGCACCTTCCTTCTGCAGGTGAATTCAGTCCCCACCATGAAGAGAGATGATTTGTTACATGAGCAAAATAAAATGGCTTCATGTTTTGGTTGAGTTACAGCTTGCTATTTCAGAAGCAGATGCTTTTTATACTCAAAACCAGAGCAAATGGGTTATGTTAGACACTTGGTCTTAATTTTTTTGTTTTTCTTTAGATAGGGTCTAGCTCTATTACCCAGGGTGGCGTGCAGTGCTGTGATCATAGCTCACTGCAACCTCAAATTCCTGGGCTCCTGAGTAGCTGGACTAAAGGTGCATGCCACCATACCCAGCTATTTTTTAAAATTTTTTTGTAGAGACAGGGTTCACCGCGTTGCCCAGGCTGGTTTCAAAGTCCTGGCCTTAAGTGATCCTCCTTTCTTGGCCTCCCAAAGTGCTGGGATTGCAGGTGTGAGCCACTGCACCCAGCCTGACACTTGGTTTTAAACAAAACTAAACCTAACAGCAGGGAAGAGACCCAGCCCTTAAAAAAAATGGCCTCAGGTGCTATAAATGGTCACTTTAAAGGAAAAAAAGCTGCCTGCATGAAGGATAGGTATTTGGAGGAAGCTCATGAGAGAAGACTTAACTGAATTCTTTCTAAAGTCAGGATTGGTCCCTTCTTAAAAGTGTTATTAATGAAATGGGAATATATACCAAGGGCAGATGCTTTGTAGGAGAGAGGAAGTGGAGGGCTGGGAGACCAGAACTCCCCTGAAACAAGTACCTCTGTGCACCGCAGGCTGTGCTTTGCAACTGTTCCAACCCCTCACAGTCAGCCCTGAGCTGGGGGTGGGGGCTCTATTTTATGAGTGAGGAAACCGGCTGAGCAGTTTATGTGATCACATTTGATCCTGAGGAAACTGAGAGGTTAATGACTCGCCAAAAGCCCACAGTGCGCAAGTGGCAGCAATGGACTTGAAAGCCCGGCCTTTTGTTACTTTGAAGCTCTTTCCTTTCCAAACGGTCTTCTTAGTGAAGACCTGCTTGACCCCTGAGAATGGGTGTTAGTAAGTGTGTAGAGAGCTAGGAGCCACTCTTAATAAGACAGCTTTTTTATAGGACCTGATGCCTGGGCTTGGGTGATCCTTAACAGTTTGTATCCTTGATATGGACTGCCCAAACACAAGAAAAAGCTAAGGTTTTTGTCTTTTTTTAATGGGAAAACATTCAAGCACCTACCTTAATCTGTTTTTCTTCTGAAAGTTTCTCGTAGGCAGCTGCTACCTGAACCATACAGCTTTTCAGCACCTCCTGCAGGGTCACCTTTGGCAAGGCATGGCCTCCAACCCGATTAATTTCCTGGCATAAGCTAAACAGGAAGGACTGCACATACCAGGACGGCTAAAAGAACAAATGAAAGTCTTGTTGCCAACTCGGAACAATTAAATGCCACACAGTAAAAGTGGATCCATTTACCCTCACAAGGCCTTTAG